GGCCACTCAGTGTATATAATAATCTGGCCACTCAGTGTATATAATAATCTGGCCACTCAGTGTATATAATAATCCGGCCACTCAGTGTATATAATAATCTGGCCACTCAGTGTATATAATAATCTGGCCACTCAGTGTATATAATAATCTGGCCACTCAGTGTCTAGGAAAACAATATATAATTGTCATTTTATTTTCAACCTGTTTATTGAAATCTACAAATAAATGGTGCAAGGTTTATGTTCACAATGTTGCAATATCTATGTCACAGAACTACAGAGCAACAACAGAAAAATGTATAAGATACATATATAAAGTGCAACTGAAGCCAAAACGTTATTTATAGTTTTGGAGAGGGATCAGGACACTTGTCAGGTTTGCTGTCTGTGTCCCTGTTAGGGCTATTTGGGTGGGTGATAGAAAGATGTAAAACGTGGTATTAGGGTGCCACCTAGTGGTCACAGAGCAGTATCACAGCCCTGCTTTGGCATATTAGCGGCCCCCCTTTTACAGCATTGAGATCTGTCGCAGTTGATGAAAACAATGCAGAATATTTTAGTAAACCTTCATCGAGCAAATCATAGAGGCTGCCATTGTATTACCTATCTTTGGGAAATACTAGTTGCCTGGCTGTCATGTTGAACAATTTTGAGTCGCTGACCCTTAACAAGTGCAAGCAGAAAGACTCTTCTTCAGTTTTCCTGATCTGTACACTTGTTCCATGCGCACTAAGGGCAAAGTTTCATTAATGTCAGTCCCTATATTTCGCTCATGGTAAGGCTTACTATAGGTCACGTGGGGTGGGGGGTTTGGGAGGCAGCAGGCAGAGCGACATGTGAGGACAATAGTCAGAGCCAGGGCTGGGTGGTGAGATGATACCCCCTATTCCCCCGTTAGCATGCACCACCAGCATACCAATCCCCCCAACAACCTCCCAGCCCTCACCCCTGTACAGCACCACCAGGGCGGCGAACAAGCTAGGGACACCTTTGACTAAATGCAATTCATCAAAATGAAAGTTTGTGCAAAGTCTTACAGATCATTTTCTTTAGAAAGCAGCATGCTGCGGAGGAGGAGGACCCTTGGTCTCTATGTGGAGGCAGCAGCCTCTCTGCAGAGGTTCAACACACTTGCTGCTGAGTCAGTTCTCCCATTAGGAAGGAAGCACAAGCTTTGATAATTGCAAAGCTTTAAACTTAATTTAGTAGGGGGGCTGGCCGACCTCTGCCGAGAGACCACTGCTTATATATTTTTTATATACAAAAAAGGACAACGGAGGAGGAAAGAGGAACAAAGGGATTTGATTCCAAAAGTGGGACACTGTAAGGTGTGTTGTGTTGAGCATTAGCAATAGGTTGCAAGTACACCTTGAGGGCTCGTTCACACCGAAAGTGGTGAATTCCAGAGCGGTAGCAAAATAGAGCAAGTCCATTTTGCGTTTGCAGTGGAACGGAACGCAGGCAAACTTTTGCCATGCTTCTGATTGCAATGCAGGCGGGCGGGGGGGGGGATGGGGGGGCATGGAAGTGGTGCCATTGAATTCAATGCAGAACGCGGGCGGAATTTTCGTGAGCGATCACGGTGCGTTCCAGCAGCTACCGCTCTGGAATGCACCGCTTTCGGTGTGAACAAGGCCTGATACACTAAAAAATCACTTTAATACAGGCGCCATCAAATAATGGCATGTGCATTGTGGTGTGCTGCAGTGTGGATGGATTGCCCAACACTGTAGTAGTGCATCAGTCTGTGTTTACAAATGCATTATGATAACCTGCGGGAAAATTGGTTTTAGGTGAATGGATTATAAGGCAATTCTAACCAGCAGCCAGCAGGGGGCGACATCTGACCACCTGTCCAAAGATAGCTCCAGAAATATATATATATACATACATATATTTATATGTGGAATTGTGGATGTGGTCAATGGAGATCTGATCCAGGCCCCCATGCAGCTGTTGAGCAACAGATGACTTCTAATAGTGATCTATTGCTGGCTGCCTTATAGCAGTGATCTGTTGCTGCAGGAAGGTGATGGATATAACCGTAACAGCTCTGTCCAGTGACATCACTACACTCCTTCATTGCTGATTTTACCGGAATGTGGAAGCATTCTTTTTACATTGACTTCTACAGCTCGCTCCTATGAAGTGATTTGTAGGAGCATCAGAAGCCCAGGAGCTGACAGCCTGTGGTTCCAGCACTAGTGCCCGTAGGGTCCCCCTTGGGGCTGTTTTAAAATGGCGCTCGGGACTTGAAAGGAACTCGAAAACCCTGCGAGTACAGAGCAATGCCTGAAAGTCCTGTTGTGGGCGGACAATACTCAACATTTCTGTGGACTGAATGGTGTCAGCCCTGCCCAGTGCCTTTTTCTAATCCTCTACCACTGTCAGACTTTAACAACATAAAGGTTAACCACTTTAAGTCCGGCCATTGTAATTAAAATGCAGGATTGTGGCTGAATAGCTGCGGGGATGGGGCGTTTTTAAACGTCCTTACCCGCCCCCGCTTGTGTGCACCGCCCAGCACGCGCAAGAGCGGGAAAAATGCTGGAATTGCTGGCTGTTTACATACAAACATTTGGGCAACTGTAGAGCCGCCCGATCGCTTGTATTATGCATGTCGGTGTGCACTGTTCCGCCGCCGCCGCCGATCATGCGGGCCCGGGACCGGCATGGAAGCTCTATGGCCAGAGATCAGAGGGAGTTCAGCACACGATCTCCTCTTCCTCTCTCCGGGAAGTGATTCATATTACATCACTTCCTCATTCAGCTGTCCTTCTCAGCTACATAAGCCAGAGAGAAGCTGGTGGAGCAGATCTGTGCTTCATCAGCTTCTCTGGGGGTCCCTAGGTGACATTAGG